GGAGTGGCGGGGACGTGGTAGTGGAGGGCTAAGTGGACAACAGTATTGGCGGCCACAAACGCATGAGGCACCGCCAAGGTCCTCCTCCCCCACAATGCCTGTCCAGGTGTCAGGCAAGATAGGCGTCGGGGCGGGCTCAGGGGCGCAGGAGGTGGTGGGGAGGAGGCTGCCGCAAGCGTGGAGGAGGCCGGGCGCCCGGGGGGGAGGCAGGCCCCAGTCGCTACCGCACCGATGTGAAGGGAGGCGTGCGGGCGTCCGCACTAGGGACACGACCTAGCGGGAAGGTGGGCGGGCGGCTACGGTGAGGACACATAGATACGGCGAGGGAGCATCGGAGAAGCGAGGGGAGATGCTCGGTCGAGGCGGACGCGAAATAGAGAGGGCGAGAGGGAAGAATGGAGAGAGAGAAGCATAGGAAGTAAAGGAAGAAAGTGGTCCCAGTAGCTGTAACAACCTCGATGTTACACCCTAAACAAACCACTAAACCATGTCATGAGCATTGTGTTTATGTGATAAAGCAGGTGATAAAGTGTGTAGATCAATTTCTTGTAACCTAAAATGACTAATAAAAATGTTAAATGAAAGTTGATTCAATAGCTCATGTATATCAAGTAGGGTTTAAAACCAATTTTTATTAAGCAAAAGCATTATAGAACATGTGTGTGACACTTAAATAAAGATTGGAGTATGGACTTTGTAGATGACAATAAAATCTTTGCTATTGAAAAATAACTTCGCTAGCTAATGCTTCTAATGGCCTAGAAATGTAACTTGGTATCATGTTCAACTCAAAGACTTAGAATATTTTCAAGTTTATAGACAGTAAGACAATGCCATGTTTGACAATTTATTTTGTGAAATCGAGTTAAGGGATGGTGTCATGTTTTAGCTCGGGTTGGTAGCCTCACATGCCATCTTGAGCATAGTGAAGACGGTTGAGGTCCAGAAGCAACCGTTTAGTTGTTATAGGCTTTTAAAATTCGTGTAAGATGTGATTTTGGGCTAGTTCATCGGGTGAGCGTGGTCACCACGTCTTGGGGGCGCGACGTCACCATGTCGGCTCGCTCTGCGCGCGCGCACGCTGCCACGCGTGTCCGACTGTGACTACCCTGTCCTGGCCGCCACTGGCTCTGCCGCGTGGAGCCGCCGCCGCTGCTCGCACGGCCGAGCAGCGCGCCCGCCTGCCTCGTCACGCTGCCGACCCGCCTCGTGCCACGACACAGCTGCTGCAGGTGTCGTCACCTCACCATCATGTATGTGCCTCCCTCTGCACACCTACCCCGCTGCTAGCGCGGTTTGGTGCTCACCACTACCGTGCGCACATGGTGGAGATCACCGTCGTCGTGCCATTTACGGCACTGCGGCCACGCGGGCCATGCTGGTCAATGGACGCACGTGCTTGTCTGATTACGTCCGCACGTGTGACGCCTTGATCGCTCCAATCACATCCCGCCAAGGCGAGGCCATGCTGAGCCCACCTGCCGGCCCTGTCTCCCTCTTTGTCTCTGCTGACCGCCGTCGAGCCGTACCACCAAATTACCCAGCAATCGATCACCTCCACTCAATTCATCGCATCCACGGCTTCACCATCACGTCCTCTAGCTGCCTGACCCCACCCAGCCATGAAGAAGGCACTACCAAGCTCCAATTTGGAGCTTTTTCCCGCTGTCGTGCCATTAAGGCCGTGTTCGGCCATGGTGGAGGGCAGCCCTCCTACTGTCCATCCCGAACCAATTCACCTGCACCACTAGCTTCGCCTTCACTTCCTCTTCACCCTACGTGCCTTAGCCAAACCGCTACCACCTCCCCATCGTCGCTGACGTGACCATGCCGCCGTGGTGTGCCGCCGCATGGCTCGGCCGCATGTGGCCAGCCCTTCTCCGTCACCCTCTTCTCCACCCACCACCTCGACTAGGTCCATGGTAGTCTCCTGATGCTCACTCGCTAGCTAGTTAGGCCCTTAGGTGCTCTGGTTCGCCGGTGCAGTCGCGCCACCGTCGTGGATGGTCGCGCGCCATCGTAGCTAACTCTAGCGCATCCCGCCGCCCCGCGTTGCTGCTCGACGTAGGTGGTGGGACCATAGTTGAGTGTCGGCCTGACCGACGAGCCAGTGTGGGTCTTTGGTGGCCGGCGTGGCCACCGCTCGCCGCGTCGCCAAGCACAGGTTAGCCGGGGGTGCACGCAGGGGAATTCCAAGGAAGCCGGGGGGGTTAAGTGAGAAGGTCTGAGAGAGGAGAAAATAGTGTTAGTATTTAGTTATAAATTGGGAGGAGTTCAAGGTCTCTTTTGCAACATCGCCAGCGCGCGTGGGCTTTTCCCGGCATGGGCCGTCTCCGCGTGGACCGGTGTCCGCGTGGGCCGTATCTGCGGGCCTCGTGTGTGGGCTGCACGGGTGATTCACTTTTCCTTTTTTTCTAAGGAATTAGAAATGGGTTTCTAATTTAATTTCTGAGCTGATCTTTGGTAATTAATATAAAATTATGTAGGTGTCCAAAAATTATGAAACAAATTTTGTTAGGTTTCTAAAGTTGTGATCTATCTGTTGGTGTATTTAGTTCATACTTATATGTGTTGATATTAGGAGTTATTAAATCGTTTGAGAATGCTTAATAATATTAAGTTAATTATTGTAGGAATTTTTGTGATAAATTTGTGATAGCTTTAGTCCTGAAATTTTTATGGTAGCTTTATTGTATTATTATATGTTCACTGTAATTTTTGTAGCTTTAGAATAGACTAAGTATTAGGGTAGTTAAATGTTTTTTGTTTCAATATACATTAAATCAGTATTAGAAATAAAGATATATCCTTAATTTATCAAGCTAAGGGTTTATTAGTTGAACCCAACACTTTGCTTGATGAAGATGATAGTTAGCTTAGTATCTTAGTTATTAGAGCTAGCTTAGTAGTTTGGTGTGCGTATTCTTATTTTAAGAGTTGTTGTTGCCTAAATGCTAAATGGTTGCATCATCATCGTATGCATATAGAGAACGAGTTGGTGGAGATAGTGACCATAGACGATCGCGAGTTCGAGGAGATCGTCGAGAAATACGAGGAGGAGGTCCTCGTGAGGGAGGAGGTCCTGGAGCCTCCACCGACTGACCGATTGACACAGTGCCTGCCCAAGGCAAGCCTCGGTATATAACCCTTATTTTTTATAATTACTATATGTATATATGTAATGTGCATTTATGGTACATGAATTTTATGAAAACCACATACATAGATATATCTGTCATATGAGTCTTACTAGTGCAGGTTCGTGTAGCTGTTATGCTTAGGTTTCCGGTAGCGTGAGTAACCTGCCGTTACTCACAATAGGTGATTATTATAATTACTCTCATGATAAAAATGATGAAAAAAAAATGAAGACCGGACAGGGATATAGTATGGCTATTGGTGGGTGTAACGAGTTGTGTCCCGCGGCCACGGGGCTTAGCTTGGTTACACTATTTTCTCGGTCCGTGTCGATTGAGGACCATCCGTTGCTGTGGATGGTAGTCAGGTCACAGACTTATTATCCTGAGCACGTACTTGCTTATGGGAGCAGAAAGGCTCGTTACGCTCTTGTCATGGGTTCTGGCTCTTTCCGGGATGCTCTTATCGTGGGTTCCGGCTTTTTTTGGACCGACTGATTGGAGGCGAAGAAATATGAAGGTCTAAGCACCATATTGAGACCGGGTCTCAAGTGTGGGGTCTTAGAGTCCAAGTTTAGACGAGGACCTGGACCCCGTGACAGAAGTGGAATGGGTTGGTCTTATTTATGCCTGGGCTACAAACGGGGCGTGTGTTTCGGGGTACCCAGCTGGGATACATTTGTTCGTGAATCGCCGTTTTCGTGAGACGGTACGACTTGGCTATGGTCTAGCGCCGTAGTAAGAACTGGAATATGAAAGATGGTAAATTGGTTCTGATTGCTCAACATTTGCTTGAAAGTAAAACATGTGCTTACCTAGAATGGTTAGCTAATAAAGTAATCATGACTGCTAATTAAACTTGATCTTAAGGACGAACTTCTAGTAATGATTTTCGCAAATAAAAAGAAAACTATGAACCTATATTGCCCATTATATTCTTAAGAGTCGGGAAACTATTTCCACTAGTCGGGTAAGTCTTGCGAGTGCATTGTGTACTCAGGGTTTATTTTACCCTGTTACAGGTGTAGCTTGAGGGGTAGCTCTTGTGTGGAGGATTCTTCTGGTGAGCACAGACGGATCCTTGTATCGTTTTTGCTAGATGTTTATTTTCATTCCACTGTTTAATTATCGTACTCTGAACCCTGGTATTGTAATAAATAATTTTCAATAACTCTTGTTGTATAAAATGAACTAAGTATTGTAAGCTCGTTTTTATTATTGGATTCTGGAGGTAAAACGTGGATTGATTCGAGTTCTCTCGTGGGGTGTGCTCGATGGAACTGTCCGATGTATCTAACTTTCGAGATGTTTACTGTCTAATGGAAGACGAGCGCCTCCAAAAACGTGTTATTTCGAGCGGTTCTGCCACAGTAGTCAGCCGAGCTCGACGCCGAGCCGACCGCCATGTCAACGCCCCATCATGGTCACGCGAACCGCCACACTGACGTCAACCACCCACCTTGGTGCCATAATCTACGGCACGGAGACATGTTACCTCGGCGACGTACGGAGCCCTGAGTCCATAAATAAACGAAACCCACGTGAGTCTAAATGTAAATTATTAAAAAAAACAAAGAAAAACACAAAAAAATCGATTCTTCGTGCTTCAAGCCGGTGGAGCCGCAGCCTGTAAGGCGGGGCCCGCTGTCTTTGCGCCAAGGAAACAGAGAGGCGGCAGCCGGGAGCGGGAAAACCGCCGCCGCCTGGTGGCTCAGCCGCGGCTCCACGCCCCAATCCCAAATTCCCAATCCCGCGCCCTCCTCTTCGTCTCCCCCAGCCCCAGACTCTGAAGGAAACCCTAGGCGCGAGAACCGTCGCCTCCCCCCGATTCGGAAGCCCTAGCCGACCTTCTGGCGCGGGAGGATGGTGGGAGGCGCCGTGGACCAGTCGCTGCTCGACCTGCTGCCCCAGATCCATGCCCTCTTCTCCGACCCGCTTCGCGTGGTAATTATGGGCTCAGCACCCGCTCTAAACTCCCCCTTCGATCTCGTGGCGCGTGGCTTAGTTGTTTCGTGGATTCCCACGGTTTGGGGAGTGGTAGATGACACGGATTGGATTCTGTTGGTTTTGTTGCTCATTTTAGCTTGCTTAGGGCGATGGATTTAGTTAGTGTTATGGTAATTTCTGATGATTCATTGACATTTGTTATGCTTTACTAGTGGTATAACTATCTGATTATGCGGGGAAATAGCTCCAAAGTGCATTACGTCCTGCATATCTGTTGATGCACTGCACTCATTAAAAAGCATCAGACTCATTGTTGCTTAACTCCTGTAAGATTCCTAATTAATTTAATTAATGTTTCTTTGAAGACTAGATATGATTCACTGCAACTCCTTACTGAAGCCTGCGGATGTGATATGCTGAGTTGTCATACCAATTGGTTTTGATTTGTCTAATTCTGTTCAGCGTGCACTGTTACCCCAACTCAATATGATGAATCCGTGATATGCCTTTGTCACTTTGTCACTTGAGACTGTTGGTTACTTGTCTAGTTTTCCTCCATTTTTCTTTTTTTTTTGTTGGAATTGTTTCCCAGTGACTAACATTCCAGCATTCTATCCTGTGCTTCTATAACAGATTTCGTACAAATGGCTTAGTCGGAACTTCTCTGTATCATCAAATGATGCCAAGAGGTAGTATTTCAGCTTTGTTAATATTTTCCCTGGGAAACTGTAATGTCATGAGGATGGCTTATGCAGTTAGCAACTATGTCCAGGTTGCTTCAGGAGTTTGTCAACAAACATGGAACCGACCTCCAAGTGATTTACAGTGTGTCGGGGTGGTTGAAGAATAATCCCCAAAGTTATTGTGTAAAGCTCATTTCAGGCCCAAAACTTGAAGGTAATGCATGAATTCCTGTTCTTATTTATGGTAGAGTTTCCTGATCTGCGGTGCTCCCTCTAGGATAAATATTATGATAACTAGATCTAAAATTTTCCTGTGTCTTCACTTCCCAGTGATATGCTTTTTTTTCCCTAGTGTCAAATTTCTTACTTGAGAAGTTAATCTTTCTTCCATGCAGAAGCAAGGCAAGGTTTCAAAGATTCTTGTTCGGTCCAGATCTACAGTATCCAGGCCTGTATTCCAAAAGATACAGCTGTACTTTGGAATCCTGAATTTGTGCAGGCAGAGGAGCTTGTCAACCAGCCTTTTGATGACGAGAACTGTTTGAGAGATAATAGGTATTGTTCTCTTAGCCCCTTGGTTTTCTCCCAAGCCTCAAGCAGGCACGGCCACAAAGGAATTGTAAGGGAAGACATAACCAGATGAGAATATACATAACCAAACAAACATATAGATGGAGATAGAGTTATATATAAAATTGCGAAATTTGTCGGAGATAATACACTGATGCATTCCTGCGTTTATATGCATGTATATGTATGCAACTTTTATCCCTGACCAGTATTCTCAATTTGGTCACTTATCAATTATGCACAGGTTTTGTGGTGTTTTGAATTCATTTGTCAAGCGAACATCCAATGGGAAGCATGTGAGTTCATTGCCACCAAAGCCCTTAAATAGTGCTGCAGGAGTCGCACAGTCTCAACCTAGTGTTACTCCAAAGGAGCAGTTTGTTACTGCTCGGCAGCAAGATTTGCCTGTAAGTTCAAAGCAGGGAGCAGGCAAGAAGTCTGAGAAGGATAATTCTACTGTATTAGATAAAGCTGGCAATGCTCCTGTTGTCAAAGAACAATCAATTGATGCCCATGCAAGCAAAAGTAAAGCTCAAAATGGAAAGGCCATGCCTAGTAATGGTGGATCGCTGGCTAACATGTGGGGCCGTGCATCAGCAAAACCTAAGCCTCCAAGTACCACTAATTCTACAGCTGTAGCAAGTGTTGCAGGTATTATCTCACAAATGCTCATATTTAATTCTTTGTGCTTTACTTTCTTGTGTATAACTCAGCACACATCTGTTCCTGTATATCAACCCTTCCAAGCATGCTATTATAGGTTTCATGCTGTTAATATTATTTTCAGCTACTGCTGATGCACAAATATGTGCAAAGGAAGAAGCAGATGGAGATAGCAGCGATGATGAACAGGGAATAAAGTACAAGAGGGATCCACCAATGCAAATAACAAAAAGAGAAGAGCGGTATTTGATTTTTCAGATGATGAGGAAGACGACAATATTGTAAGCATTGCATCTCCTGAGCTACCAAAACAGCATACCCCAGACCCTGTTATTGGAACTGCTGAAGACGCTGAAGTAAATCAAAAGAACTTGGAAAATAAAGAAGATGTACCAAACAATGAGAAAGGTTCCTCAATGGTGGTGGATTCTGACTTCACTGCTGAATGTAAAATCAAAACTTTCAATACTATGAACCATTCTGGGATTACTTTAAAACAAAAGAGTAGTGATCCTCCAATCAATGACAAGAAGCAGGATTCTGCAGCTGAGCCTGCCTCCACCTCACCGAAAAGAAGAAAGGTTTTGAAGACACGCATAGATGAGAGGGGAAGGGAAGGTAGTTATACTGAACTCTGTAAAAGACACTGTGCATATCCAGTCTTTTATTTTATGCCTAAGGGATACTGAAAATAAAACTCCCAATGCTGTACGTCATTATTCTGTTGACATGCTGTGTTCAAATGTTGACCTAGTGTGAAATGGTTTTGACAATCTGCAGCGAAAAAGAATAATTGAAGGTGATATAGAAGCTATCAAAACATTGAAGAATTTATAGAAGATCTACTCCTATTTTTATTCTGGTTGCATGCATGCAAAGTCCACAATTTATATGTGCCAATGATTTGTGTTACTGATATCACTTATCCTTTTGCTTGTTATGTCATCTCCTTTTTGATTTGGCAGCATGATTCTGAATCTGTTGGAAATTTGCTTGTAATCCTTTTCAGTTACCGAGGTTGTCTGGGAGGGTGAAGCTTCTGCAGATGACAAGGCAGAGAAGAATGTCAACACTACTGCTGCGACTGCGAGCGGGTAAGTAATAGAATTGTTTTTAATTTTGCAGCATGTGAAGTTTCTTGTCAATCCTGATCTATAAATTTATATTTGCATGTTTATACTTGAGATCGATGGTGGCAGTTGATATTGAGAGAATCAAATACCATTCGACTTTGTTATGACAACTTGCCTTTTCTTGCTAGATCATAAGGAGCAAAAGGAAAATTGCAAATTGATTCTAGTGCGCTACTCGTATAAGTGCAATTCATATAGTTTCACAAGGGAGAGACTTGTTTAGCTGAAGTTGCAATAGCATCAATCTTGAATCGCTCTATTTATGTACTCCCTCCATTCCAAATTATAAGACCTTTTGGCTTTTTTTTGATACATAGATTTTGCTATGCACTTAGATATACACTGTGTCTAGATACATAGTAAAAGCAATTTATCGAGATTCTAGAAATGCCAAAATGTCTTATAATTTGGAATGGAGGGAGTAGCAAGTTGTCTGGTTGGTGACCCTGAGCCAGCAGAGAAAAATTTGCAGAGGGGTATATCTATCCTATCACAGTTTCCCTTGTAAAATGACTACAACACTTTTCAGTATGAATTGAGAGAAATTGACCCAAAACAGATGGTATAAGGCACTTAATTTTTAGTTTATGCTTGGTGAACCAATGTGACCCCATTGGCCAGACCTCTGCTGGGTAACTGGTATATTTCCAAGTTTAATTTGCCTTTTTATTGCCCGAGTGAATTTTGAAATCTGAACAAAAGGGCTTGTATGTTAGATGGCTATGAACAGTTGTGGTTATGGACTTGTCTACATGTTAGATGGCTATGAACAGTTGTGGTTACGGACTTGTCTACATGTTAGATGGCTATGAACAGTTGTAGTTACTTAATTTGATGCCTGAAGCTATTTGTTGCTAAAGAATCCTATATATAAACTGCTCAATGCACATCGGTTGATTGCTGAATCATACTATCTTCCACGGCTACCTGGATTCTTATCCATTTCTGCTGTGCTTATTGAATTGTTTCTCAAACAAATGGACATGCCCAGAGGATTACACTGTGAGGCACTGTCAATCTGTTTTGCTTAGTTTTGTTTGCTTATTGGAATTCCTTATAATATGTACAAGTAGAGATGTGGCTCAAGAGCAGCACCTCCCTTGCCTGATGTTCATCTTCAGGATACTATGAGATAACTTGCGCCATTGCTTTCATTTTCAGCTTCGCTGCCTTGTTATTTCCATGTTTTAACTTGTATATAAGCCTACTAATGTTCCTTTTTATTTCCAATTTTCTGTCAGGGCGACTCTCCCAAGCAAACCAAAGGCAGCAGCAAACACTGACAAAAGCAAAGCTCCAAGCAAAACAACAGCAGGCAACAAGAAACCTGCGAAGGATGGAACCAAGCAAGGGAGCATTATGTCATTCTTCAAGAAAGTATGAGCCAGCGCGGTGCACACCAGAATGAGACAAGACTTTGCTCAACAAACTGTTTGCTGCCGCGCTTACTGAACCAGGTCTCCAGCCAGACGCTGCCAAGAGAGGAGAGGAGTGAACTTGACGCTCTGATTGCGTTGCTGTGTAAAACGAGAAAGCGAGCGAAGCAATATCACCCTGTAGTCCTGTGTTTCCATGCATGATTTCCATTTGCAAGTTTCACATGGCCGGCCATGTCACGAAACGATCAAGGTCAGCACCGTCCGCGAGAGCTCCGCGGTTCCGCCCCCTCGAGAGCGAAGGCTTCTAAGTTCTCACACTACGCACGGAGCTCCGCCTCACCGTCCGCACGGAGCTCCATCGCTGTCTGCTCAAAGCATGCGAAGGCTAGGCTCCAGACGCTCGGATCTCGGACCTCCGGCTCCGAAGGCTGCCAGCACGGGCTAAGCCCCGACTTTGCCCAGCAAAGACACAGCTCGCATGAACACCAGGAGCCCGTGCAGCGATACAGTGCAGGTTATTGGATCTCTGGGTCCTGAACAGCCTGCAGGAACGGCCTGGACGGTTCTTCTTTCTGAATTTATTCCAACCTTCGGATGGGGCAACTTGTACCCTCGGCTAGGTTATCTGTTCGAGTGTCGTCTTCGGATGACGGAGGCAGTGCATTAGGCCGCGCCAATTTGTCCAAGTCTCGCATGAAGGCTCAAATTATCCGTTCGGGCGCCCACGGATGCCAAAAGCCGTATCTACGAGGATTCATCTCTTCCGAGTGCGAATTATTAGAAATGATCGACTTGGGTTAAGCTTGGAGACTAACTATGACGTGAGTATGCGTGTGTAACATGTCTCTTGGTTGTGTTGGTGTGCAGGTGTAGAGCATGGAGACTATCGACGGACATGAAAGGTCAAGTAGAGATGTGTCATGCCGATGGACCGGGAGCGGTGAAGGACGGATGTGAGGCTTGGACTAATGGACCAAACAAGATGGCACGAAGACTGATCGTGGTGGCTAACACTTGTGGACATCAACAAGCAAAAGCACATGAGTTGACCGTGTTGACCAAGTCAAGACGGTGATCAACCAAGTCGAGGCGCTGGAGGACGACGGTGACACGTGTCGAGAGAATGGAGGAGGTGTAGCGGATATGCTTCTGTAGGCGATTTGGTGGTTTGGACCTCAAAACCACCGGCCATACGGTTTTCAGGTTTGGGCCTTGAAACCTAGATAGAGTTCCGGTGGGAACTAGAGGTAGCACGTGGCGTCATTGCGAAGTTTGCGTCAAGGTGGAGCAAAGGCATGAAGAGCGCGTAGCCGTCGGACTATCTCAAGTTGGACCATTATGCCCCTGGGGTTAAGTGGTGTAAGAAAAATAGACCCTTGACCCATGTAGTTTAGATTTTGATGTTTGATGATCAACAAGACTAAGTTGGACTAATATTGTTCACTAGTCTTTTTGATATAGTTCAATACGTAGGATGCATGGCGGACTTGGACTGAGATGGACAAATGGAGAAGATGATCTACACCTTAATGAAGACATTAGATGCTTGGTAGAAGACTTAGAAGCTAAGAGTCCAAGACGCAAAGGAGAAGAAGCCCGGATGATCAACGGAGAAGATAGCATGAAGATTGGAGAAAGGGCAGCCTCTGTCGTGCCTCACGGTCGGACCGCCTAGGCTGGTGCACCGGCGACGCCGGTGTGCATCGGGTCCGTCCCTCTAGACGTCAAGACCACCTCATGGTCGGACCACCAGCTCGGCCGATGATAAGTGGGGCTGAGGAAGGACAAGTGACCATTGGAAGGTGCAGGCGACCGTTGGCGCGCCTCACAGTGGTACCGCGAGGGCCTACCCGAGGGCAGCTTTGCCCCAACGGCTCTATTGAGTTAGAAAGGATATAAATAAGCCCCAACCGGCCATTTCTGCCGTGGAGGAGTTGGCAAACTTGTGTGGGGTGTTGAAACACCATTTTAGAGCTCTCCACTTGCATAGTGCTCAGTGATACATGTGGTGATTAGTGTAAGTGCTTTTTGCGAAGTGCTTAGGCTAGTTAGGCCACCGCTTATACGCTTGCTCTAGGCTAAGTCTTAGTTGCTAGTGAGGTTTTCACACCTCTTGATCTTAGGTGCTTGCGCGCACCATGTTTGTACTCGGCGGGGCTTATAGTCTTGCGAGACCACACCAACCGTGTTTGTGGTGTGGCCGCCACCATGTACCAGAGGCAACAAGGCCCGCGGTGTTTCGACCGGAAGCTTGATGGTGAAGACGTCGGGGAGCATTCAGGAAGAGGCTTATCAGAAGGCACATCGGAGACCCACTTGCGCGTGGGAAAGACCTGAGGCTATCTGCAGAGTTACCCGACCGAGAGCTTGGCCCTTGCGAGGGGCTCCAACGAGGACTAGGAGAAAGCTTGAGCGCTTCTCGATACCTCGGTAAAAATACTGGAGTCATCGACGGGAGTTTGCATCTCTACCTCATCTTCGGCTTCCGCAATTGTATTGCTTCCTTGGTTGTGTGCTCTACTTTCCTAGCTTAATTGATAGGATTGAAACCTAGGTTGCATAACTCCTTTTACGGCGGAGAGAGCAACACACTAGCAAAAATATAGTTGCACATTTTGATAGTTTACTTTATTGCATAGGTTTTGCTAAGGTTAGAAAAATGTTATAGTTCGAAATAGAGTTTTAATTTGCCTAATCCATCCTCCTACCACTTATGCATCACGGTCCTTTCAAGTGGTTCAGCAAAATATCAAAGGATATGTTGGGAATGTGTAATAACTCTATAAATAAGGTAGAGGCTCCCTGAGTTCATTTCATTAAAGTGCCTTGTGTTGTCTTAGGTAGGGTGAGTTAAGTGCCGACTAAATAATACTTTGAATGCTTTTGTATTTTAAATGTAGATATTTTGTTCTGGTTTGAGCACTACTTTCATTTGAGCACTTTCCACTTGGTTGCAAGCAACACATGCTAGAATCTATATATTAATCTTCATTTACTAAAGTCAGTAGTAACAAATATAATTTCAAATTAGAGGGGGTACTAGCTTTGTTTCTCTGCTATAAGTCAGCTCTACCTAAATATCGTCAGGCCGGCGAGCAAGAAGGGCTCCAAGCAGGCGTCCGTTAGCTGTATCATTTTGTTGTAGCAAGCTTAGTGACGCTTGAGTGAAGCAGATAACACGTCTCTTAGTTCAGAGATTATCTTGTTGTAGGCGTACATATAATTGTACCGAGGATACTCAGCCTGTTTGCACTTTTGCACGGGATTGTTGTGTTGTGTAGAAGTCGAAGGGAGAAACACTCTGGCTATATGTATCTGGCTCATCAGAAGTAAGAACCACCCCACTTTGGCGACTAGTTGTAAAGCTTGGTAGGCGCCCGTGTACCTTTGTTTCACCGTTTAGTTAGGTTCAGAGAATCTATATATTAATCTTTATTTACTAAAGTCGGTAGTAACAAATATAATTTCAAATTAGAGGGGGTACTAGCTTTGTTTCTCTGCCATACTGACTTTTCGGTAGTAGTCACCGAGGATCCTGTATATTGTGAAAGCATCTAGGCCTTTAGCTGGGTTTCGGTGATTAATGACGACACGAGATTACTATGACTAACGTGTGTTTTGCAGAGGCATTTTGAGTTATGTCATGATAATGAAAATTGATTGGGCAATCATGGTTGTCATGCCCCTGTAAATGGAAATCGTTTCGGTTTTCAAAGGATAGACGACAAGGTTAAGGACGGATTAGTTCTAAGTGTCGTTTGGTGTTGGAGAGACACTTAGAGTAGTTTAGGACTTTGTTTTTCCTTTGCCCATACTATTAAGGGGGAAATGGACTAGTAGCTTAACCTAGGTGAGTCTAATGGATTAAGTGTGGTGCACACTTGTCAAACTTAGCACTAGGTAGCTCAAAAATAGCCCTAAGATCGATAGGAGTCAACTTCATTCACAAAGAATTTCGAATTGGAAGTAAATGGAGAGTCAAATGACTGACCGGACGCTGATTTGGTTCTGACCGGACGCAGCTTGGAGAGTCCGGTCAGTTCATTTGATCGACAGCAGCAGTTAGAGTGCAATTGGATGCTGGACACCAGTGCTCACTGGATGCGACGCTAGCCGTATCTATAGCAGCGTGGACATGCTGTTGACCACGGACCAGACGCTGAACAAAGAAATGACCGGACTCTGGGTGCCAGCGTCCGGTCAACATCAGTAAGGTTACAGAGAGGGTTTTTGATGACCGGACGCGTCCGGTGGGTGCTGATTGGACACAAGCCAGAGTCCGGTCAGAGCAAATGGCTCTTTCTGACACGCTGACGTATTACATTGACCGGTGCGTCCGGTCACCTTGACCGGAGCGTCCAGTCATCCCGATACTTGCTGAGTTGGACCTCAACCGTTATGTTTTGAATGTGGGGTATAAATACATATCCCACTCGTTCATTTGAGGTCTCTTGCCCATTTGTTCAGCTGAGAAACAACTTTAGAGTGCAAGAGAGAGCAAAAGCCTAGTGGGATGATTGATTTGATAATCCTAGATTAAGGACCTCATTAGTGCATAGGGAGTAGTAAGTGTGCATCCACCTTTCTCATTAGACTTGTCTTGGTTAAGTGCGAGTTTGTGCTTGTTACTCTTGGTGATCGCCATCACCTAGACGGTTTGGTGATTGAAAGCTTGGTGATCATCCGGTGGAGCTTGTGGATGACCCAAGTCATGTTGTGAGCAGTTATGGACGATTCACCATGACGGAGTGTCAAAGAATCGGCCGTAGAGAGCACTTGATCTTTGCGTGGATCAAGGGAGAGCTACACCCTTGCGCGGGTGCTCCAAAAGGACTAGTGGGGAGCGGCGACTCTCCCATACCTTGGGAAAACATCGCCGTGTTCCTTTTCCTCTCTTTATTTTGAGCATTTATATTTGACCAACTTATTTCATATCTTTACATTCCTAAAATTGTCATGTTAGAGTAGGATTGGAATCTAGGGTGCAAAACTTTTGTATGAGAG